CGATTGGTCCAATGTGGATCTGCACACCCGTGAGGGCCTATGATTGGCAGTCCCATTAAAACACAAAGTTGGCCCGGCTGGCGTGGCTCAGGGGTTGAGCGTCAACCTATGAAGCAGGAGGTCACGGTTCGATTCCCAGTCGGGGCACATACCTGGGTTACAGGCTTGGTCATCAGTGTGGGGCATGCAGGAGGCAGCCAATCAATGATTCTCTCTCATCAGTGATGTTTCTATCTCTCTCTCCATTTCCCTTTTCTCTGAAATCAATAAAAATATATATTTTAAAAAACCCACAAAGTTGGAGGGGTGAATGAGCAGTTCTCCCAGAAGACAGGAGTGCTTCCCTAGGCTGCACAGGGGCTGTCTGCGGCCGGGGCAGTGCAGTGCAGTGCAGTGCAGTAGAGAGCAGAGAGTGGCATCAGATGTCTCAACTCCATTCCCAGCTCTGCAGCACCCTCCTCCTAGCCGTGTGACCTGGGCAACTGCTATAGGCGGACTGTCTGTGTCCCCCCAAAATTTGTGTGTCGAAACCTAATCCCCAATGTCATTGTATTTGGAGGTGATTGGGTCATGCGGGTGGAACTCTCGCAAATGAGATTAGTGCCCTTGTAAAAGAGACCCTGGAGAGCTTCCTCCGCCTTCCGCCATGCGAGGCTAGGGTTAGAAGGCACCATCTAGGCCAGTGATGGCGAACCTATGACACGCGTGTCAGAGGTGACACACGAACTCATTTTTTTGGTTGATTTTTCTTTGTTAAATGTCATTTAAATATATAAAATAAATATCAAAAATATAAGTCTTTGTTTTACTATGGTTGCAAATATCAAAAAATTTCTATATGTGACATGGCACCAGAGTTAAGTTAGGGTTTTTCAAAATGCTGACACGCCAAGCTCAAAAGGTTCGCCATCACTGATCTAGGCCCTAGGAAGCAGCCGTAACACAGACACCAAATCTGCTGGCTTTGATCTTGGACTTCCCAGCCTCCAGAACTGAGAAATACATTTCTGTCGTGTATAAGCCACTCGGTTTATGATATTTTGTCATAGCAGCCTAAGACAGCAATGCACTCAGCCTCTCAGAACCTCAGTTTTCTCATGGATGAAATGAACAAACACCTCCCTTGCAAGGTTCTTCTGAGTGTTAAATAATACTTGCCCCATAATAGATACTTAATAAATGTCCCTTCCCTCCCAGCCCCATCCGAGCAGGAGTTCCTGAAGAGTTGGAATGTGAGCCCCCCTTTTTCCTAGAACTGTGTTCTGTATCTAAGGGCTCCTGCTCCTTGCAGCTGATTGAGAAAACCATACCCAGGGATTGGGCGGGGTGGGGGTGGGGGGGTAGGTGTTGCCCTGACTGTATATGTATGTGCCTCCCAGTGGCTCCATCCAGTTACCCTGCACTGGACTCAGTGGGAAAGGAAAGATTGGATGCTGAATCAGTTAGGAATGATGCTGTGGGAGATTCCCACAAACAGCAGCTTAAACAAATTAGAGTTTCATCTCCTTCCTCTGAGTAAAGGAAATACAGAGGCAGGTAGCCCAGTGCTGGTAGGATTGGTGCTTGATGCTGTCAGGGGCCCGGAATCCTTCCTGTCACTCATTCGTGGTCCATGTTGGCTGCTCTGCCTCTCTCTGCTCACCCACAGCCCTGGAGAGGGCAAGTCCAAAGGCACGTGGTGGTTGAGCCTGTCCCCTCTCTAGGGGTTTTCCTAGAAGTTTCACCCCACAGGCTGCCCTGACCACTGCCTGCATCACATGACCACGCATGTGAAGAGTGCAAGGGAGGCTGGGAAATGTTCTGCAAGGACTCTATAAATTTTTGCTGTTATGGTTCGGAGGTGGTGCAAGACCACATGAGCAGAGGCTGGCAGCTCCTCTGGGTAATTTTGGGAATGTGGTTTCCGGGTGGTGAGTGTCTGGTCAAATGGACGCGGAGAGCAGCTTCCAGTAATGGAGCTGAGGGCACCCATGTCACATGGGCCATCAGCAGAGAGGAGCTGCCTGGAGGAGGAGTCACGGAGGCCTGGCAGCAGTTGTGTGCTGACGGGGCCAGCGCCACCAGTCAGTGCCCACGGAGGCCATCGCCACGGCCCCCCTTAAAGGCAATGCCTACATGCTCAGGAGGCCATGTTCTGTCCCTTGTGCCCATGCACCACCTCTTGCCCCTTGGTCTCAGCTGACTGGACTAAAGGCTGGCACCTAACTCACGGGCAGCCAATCCATAGGCTGGCCAGCCACCCATGTCGTTGGCTCAAAAAATGATCTAGCCAGGTTGGCTCATGAACTTGACTTGCCTGGAAAGAACTTGCAGGTGGGAGCAGAACTAAAGGAAGCAGACAGAGAGGAAATGCTCTGCCCCTGCCTGAGCTTGTCCTAGACCCCACATGGTCTCTCAGCAGCTGGCGCATGCGGGCTCCAGCGCAGGTCTCCGTGAGCATCCCTCCTGGCTCCTGCTGGCGTCACCCCCCCAGTCTGAGTAGTTTGAAAGGGCCTCTGCTCCTTGCCACTAACCCTACTGGCCCTCAGCAGTTTTATGTTAAGGTCATCAGATGCTTCCTACAGAAATTCAGTTGATTTCGATAATGAAATCAAAGTCAAGCTTTTGCAAGTTCATTCTGGTGAGGGTGACGCATCCAACATTGTTGTAAATATTCTTGCAAATTCATATACAGAGTTCAGCATTGAAGACAGAATTATTTGTGCTTTCAAGTATGAATATAGATTTTAGTGGAACCCAGCAGCATGGTAAACACAATATGTATATCCAATTAGGAAATCTATAAAGCAGAAATGAGCCTGGACTTGGTGGTGGTGGTGCACATATACTTGAAAATTGAGATAAAACAAGCTGCGATGGCCTGGCAATTGAAATAGAAATGGTGGTTGTTTGTATACACACACTTATACATAAAGAGTAATCACACGACAGTATTTTTTGTGGCAAAGATGATGTTGAATATAAATCATTTCAGCATGGTAGTAGGGCCAGGAGCAGGGGCAGGGAGTGAGGTGCCCACCTCCGGGGCAAAGTTTAAGGGGGCACCAAAAAATTCAGTAATTAAAACAAATAGTATTTTAAAAAATCAAAATTAATGTAAAAATTCATGATGAACAAAATATCAGAATTTTAAATGAAGTCCAGATGGTTTTATCAGTGTTTCTTTTTGTCTCAGGCTCCCATCTGACTTGGCACAGGACTGCAGAGCAGACTGTTTTCTCCTTTTGCTGTCTGCCGTCGGTCGGATTTCTAATATGTTTGAGCCTTTGAAGAATTACTTTGTAAATAATCTTAAGTATTTACAATGGAATTTAACATTTTGTAAATGAGTCCTCTAAATTTTGTTCAAAAGCAACCGAAAATCTTTAATCAGAGAGTTCAACAAGTGTGCCAAAATACACTTTAACTTTAGAAACTTTTATCAAGTTTTAGGTATCGTACTAGTAAACAAAGCTTTTAGCAAATTTCATTTATTTCAATCTGGAAAACATTCACTTTTACCTCTCAAAAGCAAGGGAGTTGCTGAACAAATTAAGTAATGAGAACTCAAGTGGTGGCCAAGATTCAATTTAGAAATTTTGTACTTTTTCTTTGGAATGCCTTCACTTGTGGGAAGAATATTTTGATGGTGCTCCTGTTTTTCATCGAGCAAATTCTATTTTGTACTTGATTTGAAGGGAAGGCAGAAGGCGTATAGTTTTGCAGCATCTACAATTGGCAAAATATTAAAAAGAATTACAAAGTCAACTTATAGATGAGTTTTATGTTCTCATAATATTTTTAAAAGAAAGGTATTCTAGCCTGGCTGGCATGGCTTGGTGTATGAGCATCAACCTATGAACCAGGAGATCATGGTTCAATTCCTGATCAGGGCACATCCCCGGGTTGTAGGGCATACAGAAGGCAGCCGATTGATGATTCTCTCTCATCATTGATGTCTCTCTCTCTCTCTCTCTCTCTCTCTCTCTCTCTCTCTCTTTCTCCCCCTTCCTCTCTGAAATCAATAAAAATATATTTTTAAAAAAGAAAGGTATTCTAAATGGAAATAAAAATGTATTATCTATGAGAATATTTGGGCGGAAATAGTTAACCATTTCTAGCTAAAGAAAGTAGAACTGAGAATATCATCCATTTAGCAGAATTTGCTCTGAGCTTGTCAGTTACCCCTGCAGAGAAACTATATCCTCATTAAAAATATTATGATCTATAAAGAGGAGTCTATGAAGGATGCCAACAATTTCTCTGTTATTAATCATAAATGTAACTTTGAAGATGATTATAGGCAATTATTTGGAGGAAAAAAGAGATCAAAATTTTAAAAAACATACATGCTTCAGAAAAATACCAGTGATACAGTATTAGAAGCATATATGGCTAAGAAATTTATATATATATATATATATATATATATGTACCAAAATTATTATTCTTTTTATCACTTTTAATGGTCAGATAAATATAGTTTTAACAATTTCAATGTACACACTAAATCATTATTTAATGTTATTTTAAAAACAAACTTGTAATTTTAGAATATCTTTATATTTACAGAAAAATTGCAAAGCTAGTACTGAGAGCTTTCATATGTTCCACACCCAGCTTTTCTTATTATTAACATCTTGCATACTTTGGTACATTTGTTATAATTGATAAACCAATAGTGCTACATTCTTAGTAACTAAAGTCTATACATTTTTATTATTTTTATTTTTTACCTACTGTCTTTTTTTAATCCTCACCTGAGGACATGATTTGATTGATTTTAATGAGGGAGGAAGGGAGAGGGAGAGAGTAAGACATTGATGTGTGAGTGAACATCGATCAGTTGCCTCTTGCATGTGCCCTGGCCAAGGATAGAACCTGCAACCTGAGTATGTGCCCTGACTGGGAATAAAACCCTCGGCGGCTCGCGAGCCACACGTGGCTCTTTGGCCCTTTGAGTGTGGCTCTTCCTAAGCCTTAGGAGTACCCTAATTAAGTTAATAACAATGTACCTACCTATATAGTTTCAGTTTAAAAAATTTGGCTCTCAAAGAAATTTCAACCGTTGTACTGTTGATATTTGGCTCCGTTGACTAATGAGTTTGCCGACCACTGGTAGGACAAGATTCCAACCACCTGAGCCACACCAGCCAGGGCCCTCCTGCCAGGACCCTCTGTTTTCTTTCTTTCCTGTTCCGGTATCTCACTACATTTAGTTGTCATGTCTCCTTAGGCTCCTCTTAGCGGTGACAGTTTCTCAGACTTTTCTTGTTTTTGATGACCTTGCCAGTTTTGGGGAGTGTTGGTCAGGTATACTCTCTCGAAGTGAGTTGGCTGTTGTTCTCATGATTAGACCAGGGTACAGGTTTTTGGGAGGAAGACCACAGAGGTGAAGTGCCGTGTTCAGCACTGGATTAAAGGCGTGCACATCCAATCAACACGACGGATCCCTGGTGGCGCTGGCCTAGATCGCCTGCTGAAGTAGTGTCTGTGAGGTGTCTCCACGGTAAAGTTACCCTCCCCCGCTCCCTCACTGTGCTCTTTGGAAGACAGTCACTATGCACAGCCCACACCTAAGACCTGCGAGCTTACGCTCCCCTTCTTTGAGGAGGGAGTGTCTCCTAAATTATTTGGAATTCTTTTGCACCAGAGATTTGTCTTGTCTCCCTCATTTATTCAATAATTATTGTTTTTTAAAGTTTTTTTAAAATAGGTTTTTATTGATTTTTAGAGAGAGAGGAAAGGAGAGGGATAGAGAGATAGAACCATCAATGAGAGAGAAATGTCAATGAGAAACATCAACATCGATCAGCTGCCTCCTGCACGCCCCCTGCTGGGGATCAAGCCCGCTTGTGCCCTGACCAGGAATCCAACTGGTGACCTCTTGGTGCATGCTCAACTACTGAGCCACACCAGCCAGGCAAGCCGTTAAAAGTTTTAGTACCCCTTTGTGTATTCAGCCTGCAGATCAAGAAATGACATTGCGCTCTAACTGGTTTGGCTCAGTGGATAGAGTGTCGGCCCCACTCTACACATGTCTGTGAATGACCCTGAGAGCACAGTGAGTGGGTTGGGGGTTAGCATATATTTCATTGAGTAGGCAAACTCGCACATTCAGCATCTGCGAACCATGAGGGTGGCCGTAGTACCACCCTCCCTGGGTCGCCACCAGGGGTAACTGGGTGATAGGTGGAAGCCCCTTAGCAGTTTGCCCCATAGCAGGTTCTTCTTATTTTAATAGTAAATGTATATATAATACTAGACAGGCTTTTGTATGTATACTAGAGGCCCAGTGCACGAAATCATGCTAGCCTGCGATCAGGGCCATCTTCCGCCCGCTCGCCAGTCCCCAGTCCTGCCCTGCCGCCACCCACCCAGTTCCCCATGGTTCCCCCTTCGCCATGCTGCGATCAGAACCTGCGGGCTGGGGGGGGACCGAGATGTGGTCAGTGCACCTCATAGCAACTGGTCGAGTGGTCGTTCCAGTTGTTATGGTTGCTGGCCTTTTCTTATATAGGACTTATTTATTTATTTTTAGAGAGAGAGGAAGGGAGAGGGAGAGAAACATCTATGACAGAGAAACATCATTGATCAGCTGCCTCCTGCACGCCCCCCACTAGGGATTGAGCCTGCAGCCCAGGCGTGTGCTCTGACCGGGAATCAAACCAGTGACCTCTTGATTCCGGGGTTGACGCTCAACCACTGAGCCACACTGGCTGGGCCGTCATAGGTTCTTAATCCATGGTCGTCGTCACTGTTCTGCTCCTTGCTAGCTCTGTAGCTTCAGCACATCAGACTCTCAGGCGGTGAGGTACCCACTTTCAAAATGGGGTTGTTATGCCGAGTGCTGAGGCCCCAGAAAACCTCAGGCTATTGTTCTTGGATTCCAAAGAAATGCCCTGGAGGCCTGGCTGTGAAGGACATGGGTTTATTAGGACTTATGAGCACAGCACAGCCGACTGGGGAAGGTGAACCACT